ATTACTTTATTCCCCTACAGGGTAGTTAGAGATATTGTAATACCTCAAAACATCCATGTTGCACTTGTAGTACCGAAACTCTGTCCTGCCAGAAGTGAGCCCATTCCCACTTATAATGGACAGTGGGTATAATACACCTTAATACCTGAGTGCGAACCACTCACCATGATACTTAAATTAATAGATGTTATTTATATATTTCAGGTTATTACAAATAAAATCATTTTGGAAACAATTGATATCCCAAAAGCAAATAAAGCCAACAATGACAAGGTAATAAATCAGTTTTGACATAACTTGAATACTAAAAAAGCCAAACAAAGGTGTGCACAACAGTGACAACATAACTTAACAATTTCATTATTTTGTAGGATTAAAGAAAGGTTAAAGAAAATCATGTCGAACTGAACAACAAGAATCCCCAAACAACTCCAAAGAAACCTACAAGGAAGACACCGGTATTATATTTAAATTATCTCTATCTCTAAATAGAATAAAAGAAAGTTGCTATCCAGGTCTGTAGCATGTGCTACAAATTATATTATTAACACATTTATATAATTATATTAATATAAATGTGTTAAAAATTTATAATATGAATTATAAAAATTTTTAAGTTTTGCATGGACAGAGCTTAAATTAATATTCTCTTATTTGTTGCAGAAAGCAAGTAGTTTTGGAGAAGCCTCGTAGATGCACAACCAAGTAATGATTAATTTAAAATTACAAACCGAAATTCTGATGAAGACATTAGAGTCACTTAAAAATAAATAGTATAATGAAATAAAAATGTTTTAAAGATAAATAGTGTTTTATTTGTTTAATGTAAGAGAATAATAATAAATATTTATTTAATTAATTTTTCAAATGTAAACTGAACTTTATTGACTTTAATGACTCCTTTTCCAGTCTTTGATTATTTAATTGTAATTAATTATTTGCATGCAATCAAAAACTATTTTTAATAATGCCAAAGAAGTATAACTTCTTACGCGCGTACATAAGTACACGCACCCTTTTTTAATATGTTTTCTAAAAGCTCATTAAGTTAATTAATGTATTACAAAAGTAGAAGTTATTTGACGAAGAGTATTCGATAGAATAAAATAAAAGATTGCGTGCCGAAGTAGTAATTTTTTTTGTCGAATCTATCTTTCAGGCCTAGAAAATCGTACAAAAATCTGTAAACATCGCGGCAAACAACTTTTTCCAATAGAATAGAAATTCTGCTATCAGAATATATATATATATATATATATATATATATATATATATATATATATATATATATATATATATATATATATAAACTGACAAGAAAGCTTTATATACTCATTTTCTAAATTGAGCTAAAGCTTTATCAAATAGTAGGTTTAAAAGAAGAACGACCCAATTTATAACAAACTGAATAAAGATTGAATTTGAAATTTTAACTATCTAAGTATGTGCGCATTCACACATACTTAATGTCTTATAAGACTTGTGTTTAACACTACACCTACTTTTTTTTCAAAAAACTAACTGTTGTGTATCTAGTTACCCAAAACACAGGGACATATGAATTTTGTCACACCCTATTTGTCATGAATAAAGTTTTTATTATTATTATCTAAAAGTGATAGTATTTCAAATCACAACATTACCTTATATATTGTTTTTGAATTTGTGTATAATTTACTTAGCTTAAATTTTGAGCATATTTTGCAGTATGACAGATCGTGGATTTGTTTCTGTATTGGTAATATTATTGATTTAATATTAAAACGAGAAAGTCCGTCATTAAATAACCTAACCACGTCAACGTGACAGTTGTTAATTATTGTTATGCCCATACATTATGTGCGTCATAATGGCCATTTGAAGCTATTTATTATATGATAAATATTTGTTTTTCGCTTCTTACAAATTAAAATAATACTTCTAGCTAATTAAGGTAATTTACCTTCAGCAAAGGTGTGCGGCGTGTTGGCAACCCTGACCTGAACACGTTTGACTCAAAGTGTAAAAAAATACTGTTTTGTTTGCACAAACATTTGAAAGATCTCTGTTATCAACCAGGAATACTTAGCTGTATCAGTATTCCTGGAAACAATTAAGGGTTTATTTAATAACATTAAAATTATTTCAGTCACAATATTTTCTTAGAAAATATTCTCCATATCAGTAGCTTAGTTTCGTAGTTTAGCAAATAGAAAGCTGGTCACCAATACACTTAGTAAGAAAAAATGTTCTCTTTAAATTCTTCCTCACCCTTACAATATAGATGGCGTAATCGGGAAAAGTTTGTTTTTACAGACCTTCCTATGATGAGTGATTTTTTCTAATAAGCCGGATTAGGAGGCCTAACTGTTGTTAAGTTCTACACTTATTAATTATACGTAGTTACAATGCATTTGTTATGTTTTCGTTTTCAGTGATGTCAGTTATTTCGACTATGTATTTGCATGAGAAAATGTAAGTACGATCTCCTATTTAACCATGCCTACTGCTGATATAGGACAAATCTTTGTTTTGAATTTATATTTTTATTATTAATTACTTAAAATGACACGTGGAACATGGAGTAACGGTTGCAGGTTACAAACTTTGTGTAAAACAAAATACTTCACGATTAAAAAGAGCGACGGTGAGTTTCTTGCCAGTTCTTTTCGTCCGTTCTACGACCTTGATTTGAGAACTGGCAGTAAATAAAGAAGCATTTAGCATTTAATATGTATTTCTTTATTGACGTTCATAAGTGTAAATTGTGTTACCTATATTGATAAATGATTTTGTTTTTGAACATTCAAAATCTGAAACTTCGAGGCAGAATACGAAATTCCACCCGTATCACCTCGACGTCCGCCGTTCCACAACTGAGCGTTTTTGCCGCGCACCACCACTTTGTGGAATCAGCTGCTCACTGAAGTATTTCCGAACCAATTCGACTTAGGGTCCTTCAAGAAAAGAGCGTACCAATTCTTTAAAAGCCGGCAACGCACTCGCGAGCCCTCTGGCATTGAGAGTGTCCATGGGCGGCGGTATCACTTAACATTAGGTGAGCCTCCTGCCCATTTGCCCCCCGTTCTATATACCTATATAAAAAAAACACGACTGCTTCGCCGTTATTAGGTTGGCGAATTATAAATATCAAAACGGACAGCTCCACAAAGTATCTACTGCTGCCTTGCGATTCTGTAACTCACTTTTCAGGTGGGAGCTTGTAGTTTATTATTTACCAGATTTCCAAATCTGAAATAACTGCTTCAAGACTGATTTGAGCGCGACCGCCGTTGCGAAAACCGCTGTGTGAGTTCGAAAAGTGAGTTACAGAATCGCAAGGCTGAACTGTGTAGCAAAGAGAGAGTTTAAAGCTCACTTTTACTCTCAGTTATATGCCGCATTATGGCGGATCACATTGCGAGGTGATTAAGAATGCAAACCAGCCAGAGAATGCAACTTCAATTTCAAAGAGACTTATTTATGAGACGATTTTAATGGTGCGTAATTTAACAGTTGAACTAGAAGGCGGCGTCTCGGAGGGTCACTTTGGTGCCAGCAAATGAAAAGGTGCACTATCATATAAAAGTTTTAATTTAGGTTTTAAATGGAGGAAATTCTAAATTAGTTCATTTAAAATTATGTTTATGTAATTACATTCAGCATGATAATGAGGTACTGTGTAATTCGCAATAGTCATTGCAATCCTTTAATGTTGAATTTTTGCGACAACATTATTAATAATAATAGGTACAATAATTTAATTATTAAACCTTATTCCATTGTTGAATTATCTTACAAATGCTCGTCCCACACTCAGACATTCCTGTCTTACCCGACTCTTCTGAGGTACAATAAAATATCAACAGTATCACAGTACATTAAACGTGTATGCGTGAATTATGGCTCCTTTCCGGAGACGGTCTTACCGCAAACCAACTCCAGTTGCAATTTTTCTGTAGGACCGATAGCAAGTGTTTTGCCATTTTTTGCCGTTTATATTGCGATCATTTAATATTTAATATTGCTTTTTTATTCAAAAGCATATTGGTGCGTAATTCGATTGAGCTACTGACATAATAATATGTACATTGTTTATACATAATAATATTAGAAAGGGTTTTAATGTATGACAATTTAGTTAATTAATGAGTTATTTATTCAATCCGCAATTTGACGGATACAGAAAAAAATACAATAATAAATAGCTTATTATAAAATGGACATTATGACGTCAATGACAAGTAGATACGTAATTAATATTAATTTAGGAAATGAATACGTCACTCCATTATCACTACATAATGCGTTGTTCTTAGTTGTAGCAGGCACAATTAATATTTGAAGTTGCGATATTTAAAATTAAAAATGCGAGTTTTACTCAGTTTATTATTCGTAGTAACCTCATATGGCGTTCTTGGAGATGAACTCTGTTCCTGTATCTCTGGAAACTTAACAGCTCCAATGGATACATCTGCCCCTGAAGCTTTTAAGAAGTAAGGGCTTACTCCAAAATATGTACCCATTGCTCCTAAGGATAAGATAATGGTAAGGTTTTGAATTCCTTTTTAACTTAAGTAATGGAAAGCAGTATTGGCCTAGTGGCTATACCGAGGGATCCAACACGGCTGTGGGTCCCTGCATGTTCACTACGATGTATTCAAAAAATTGTTACGCTTGCTATCAAACTATTTAATCACCTTCCTAGAGGTTCCTGATCACTGCCATGTAATGCTTTCAAGGGGAAGGTGATTAAATTTTTGAAGGCGATGTGCCGTGGGCGAGTATTTTGACCATAAGTTTGACAACAGTAATAAATAACTTAACTTATTATTATGACATTATGTATGTCCATATTATATGTCATTATAAAAATTAAAATGACATTTGCAGGCCTATTAATATGGCTTAATTGATTTAATTGTACCACTATCTTGGCAAATAAACGATTTATTATTATTATTATTAAGCGTGCAACTCATAACCCTGAGGTTGTGCGTTTGAATCCCGGCTATGCACTGATGGATTTACCTTTCTATGAGGTAATCCTCAAGATGTGTTCACTGCACAAGCTTGTTTAAGCGGAGAGAGACAATCAATTGGTACTGGATTAGGGAAGCAATATAAGTAAATAAATGTTCATTTGTTTCAGGGTGGTTTTCTGACAGCAAATGTGGAGTTAGGAAACTTCATTGACCCACTCAGAATTATGGATTCTGTGTATATCAAGTATCCAAATGGAAAGGATGATGTTAAATACACCTTATTACTGTTAGGTAAGGAGCACTTGAACGTGTAAGTCGAGTATTGTAAAAGATATCTCTATGTATATAAAATTCTCGTGTCACAATGTTCGTTCCCATACTCCTCCGAAACGGCTCGACCGATTCTTATGAAATTTTTTATGCATATTCAGTTAGTCTGAGAATCGGCTACTATCTATATTTCAAACCCCTAAGTTATAAGGGGTGTCCACCTCTAAATTTTTATTTTTTAGATACTTTTTTTATTTTTTTTCTAACATACAAAAATACATACAACCTCTTATTGGCACCCCTCTACAATCAATATTAATTTTTAATAAAATATTTGTTTATTAAACATTCACAGAAAAACCTAAAAACTTTTCATTCCGGAAAACCGAACAGTCTCTGGGGTATCATAACAAAATGTTCCATGTTGGTTTGTACTAAAAAGGTAGGCTAAGTAAAATCACATTAATGAGAAATGAAATTCGCGGGGGCGGCAAGTTTAGTAATAAAATACTATAAGTCGGAGTTCTCAATTAAGTCATAAATATGTCTGGCATCGTAATATCTTATCTGAAGAGAGAGAGAGAGTTTAGTTTTGTAGGAATTATAGATGTGATAAATTATTACCATTAAAAATTTCTGGTACATTTTCCAGATTTTGATGCACCCCGAAGTCATCACCCTAATGTGTACATCATTGGGCTTTACGTGAATGCACCAAGTAGCAATCTAATCACCGATAGTGACACGGTTGTAACCTACGTGCCGCCATTGCCAAGCTTGGGAATTGGTACCCATCGACCAATGGCTCTTTTATATGAGCTAAACGACCACATAGACCCTGACCAAACGGAATTGACGAAGTAAGTTATTTGACGCAATTACAAAACAAAAGCCTTAGGTCAGACTACTGACTAGAGCAATTGCATGATGAATTCAGTTACGAAGGTGTGCGATGGGTTGTCATTCCATCATAATGTGAACGATGGTCATAACTATAATTATTTCTATGTCTTTTAGTTTCTATCAATGCATGGGATAAAAGAGCAAAAGTCTGAAAGTAAAAGGGGTGCAACGAGACTGATTTATTTTGATAAATAAAAACCTTTATCTAATTTAGTAACTGTAAAAAATTTATTAGCTTGTTAAGACATTTTGATGATGTTCACACCATTCATAATTTTTGCAGACTGTTGAAACAGAAAACTCGTGTATTACAATTGGAACAATTCGTAAAGAAATACAATCTCAAAGCTGAGCCTGCAGCGGGGAATTTCTTCACCACTTCATTGTCGCGTTGCGGAGACGTTTAATTAATAAGTGATAATGGTCGCCTGGAAGAAATCGCTTGTTAGCGATAAGGTCGCCTGTTGCATTTCTTATAATTGTATTTGTTATTTGTTTTTCTATAAATGTAACTAAGTGTAAATAAATAAATATACAAAGTTTTTTTTTGGAAAATAAAACAATTATTCACACGTCTAAAAATTCCTTGCTTACATTTATTATTTTTTATCTAAAGTATTCATATTCTATCACAGTATATACACAATTTGAAAGAAATGGCGCAATGATTTGATCCGTTCTATACTACGAGTATATTATTATGTCGGAGCAATGGCGCTAGTATCAGCTGCCATTGTCATGTCATGTCAAGTCATATTAGTTCAAAACCGTTATATGTTTTATTTGATTGGCCAATATTAATAGATCCAAAAATAATAGTCTGTCGTAATTACATAGTCTTTATTATTAATTTTGAAGCAATGGTAGTGTCAGCTGCTGTTGTCATTATAATTAAATAACATCAAAGTCAAATTAGTTCTAAACCGTTATATGTTTTATTTGATTTGCCAATATTAATAGATCCAAAAATTAATAGTCTGTCGTAATTACATAGTCTTTATTATTAATTTTGAAGCAATGGTAGTGTCAGCTGCTGTTGTCATTATAATTAAATAACATCAAAGTCAAATTAGTTCTAAACCGTTATATGTTTTATTTGATTTGCCAATATTAATAGATCCAAAAATTAATAGTCTGTCGTAATTACATAGTCTTTATTATTAATTTTGAAGCAATGGTGTTAGTGTCAGCTGCCGTTGTCATTATAATTTATTAAAATCAAAGTCAACAATCGGTCCCTGTCTTTGTATATCTCCTCTCCTACGAACTTCCTGTCGTTAGACGATAATATTCCTATCGTTTAGTTCCTAACTCTGACTTTCTACCGTCCTTTATCCACGCGTAATCCTACGCGTATATACAATTTTAGGTTCATTGCGTATATAAGTAAGTGCACTGCAAAGCATTGGTAATTACCCCCTTGTTTTAAATTTTTGGGGAAGAGTTGAAAAGTGTTTTAATTAGTACAGCCTTGCGATTCTGTAACTCACTTTTCGAACTCGCACAGCGGTTTTCGCAGCGGTCGCGCTCAAATCAGTCGTGAAGCAGTCATTTTACGATTTGGCATTCAACGTCAAATACGTAATGAATTTTCGCCAAGTCACACTTAGTCCCGACTGTATCTTACCGTATCTCACTAATAATTTGGGCGTACATTGCAGACTGGCTAGACAATCATCAAAGTTATATACTGACACGAAAAAGGCTCTCGAGTGCTTTACCGGCCAATAAGAATTTGTTTCATTATTTCTTGAAGTATGGTTTAGGTAGTAGCAAAACACAGCGACTAAAATGCTTCGTGTGAAACTCTTCATCCATTGGTAACATATTATAAAAAGGAAAAAAACCAAGGTTTCAAAAAATATATAGGTAATTAAGTGTGGCCATAGACGGACCGCATGTTGCAGTCGATACCAACTGCTCTAAGCGGTCGCCGCACGGCGATCTGCAGTTTCCATACTAAATTCATATCCGCAATACATGGACCGCACGATCAGTTTCTGAGCGGTCGGAGCAGTCGCTCTGCGGTCGACTTTCGCCGTGCGGTCGACTGCTTAGAGCTGCTGGACCCACCATACACGGATCGCTACAAGCGGTTGCTGCCGACCGCGCGCCTCTTCCTCAAATAAAATAAAATACTAACTAATTCATCAAATGAAACCACGGAGATTCTAAAGTAGTAGAAAACTTCTCTAAGCTGGGGATACAAAGTATGAAATATTCCATGCTATGCTTGATTGTAATATTGGACGCACCCACATACTACGGTGTCTTCTACGCCTACGCTTGCGTAATAGTACAAGTAGCAGTGTTACTTCATCGAAATCGTTCTTGTAAATGAACTCGCATCAGTATTATTTTGCGGTAGAACACAACTGCTCCAAGCAGTCGTAGCCGACTGCATTATGCGGTCCGTCTATGGCCAGCTTAAGGTTTGTAAAATTTTAATTAAAGGTATGGTTTTAATTAACAAATAAAATTCAGACATATGATTATACTAATAAGGATTTTTCATTTTCTATGTCACTTTAAAAACTTGATAACATTGTCATGACGTCAAAATACCTAATTATTTTAGATATTAAAACATTTTGCTGGAGTATTGAAAAACATATATATATTTTTCTTAGGTAATAATTAAAAATATATTAATGATTAAAAATTGTGGTGTATAAAAAAGAAATACGCTGATGTATAATAACAATTGATATTTTCCTAATCACGTCAATCTACCATTGACAACTGCCAACTGACAAGGACATTTCTGTCAACTGTCATGTCGACATCTTATTTAGAATATTGCTAATATTATACTCTAATGTTTTTTTTTATTTTACAAACGCCTTAAAAACATGATAATGATGCCTTAATTATAAACTTATGTTAGTGCTGTTTTAACTAAAAATAGTTATTTCGTATGTCCATTGACATAGGCCTCTCCAAGTACCTTCCATCTCGCTCTTCGAACTAACATTCTCCATTCCTCGGTGAATCTTAAAAAAAACTGAAAATTGCTTATAACATTTAAAAACGGATAACTTATATTTTTTTAATCACGCCGAACATCACTTTTTTATTATTTATTGTCTATTCTGCCATTGGACCAATTTATAAACAAACCCGCGATCTTCAATATTATACAATCTTTGATAAAAAATACAGAAATGACAAAAGCAATTAGTTTTGAGCTAGGTAATTAATGAGTTAATTTAAAAAAAAAACTATATATAAAGCATTGTTCTTTGTCGAAGAATACATTATATTGTATACTTGGAAAGTAATTTACGAAAAATGCGATTTTTAATTATATTATTTGTCGTAGGGTCGTATGGAGTCTTGGGAGATATTCCTACGAGTTTCAAAAGGGTATTGCCTATAGTTATCCAGCCATGTACCTGTATCACTTCATACCTGAAAGCCAAGTCAAATATATCTCCCCCAATTGCCTTTAAGACATTCGGGATTTCGCCGAAATACTTGCCCGTTCCGCCTAAAGATAAGCTTGAGGTAAGCCATTCATGGTTTTTTTAATGTTCTGCCTGACCCGATTTCACAACGCTGGAGATTCAAAAAATGTGGTATTCAGAATTACCTTTTTAATGATAATGTAGCATTCCTGTTACAAAGAACATTATCCTTGTTAAAAATGTCCAAATCGAAAAAAAAGGTTTCTCCACAGGAAAGAGGTAAAACATTTTTGATAGCGATTCTGTAGTTTTTAAATTTATTCGTTAAAAACATACAAAAATATAAATAACTTTTCTTAGGTTATAATATATTTAATTTAATATTTTTTGCATTCTTATTTCTTTTTTGATTTATCACCCCTTTTACTACGACATTTTTTATTTGAAATATAAATTGCTTTTTATATAAGTATTAATAATAATGATTAAGATAGATTTTATTATAATGGTGTATTAATAATTGCAGGGTGGTTTTGTGACAGCAGCTGTAGAGTTGGGAAATTACATTGACCCAATTAGAACTATTGATCCAGAGTCTGTTAGTTATCCAAAAGGAAAGGACAGTGCAAAGTACACTCTAATAATGATAGGTAAGTGGAGATCTTACTCCAACTTATGCTAGCATTATCCCGTGCTAAGATCACGGTCACTAAAATTGTAAACTCTAAATCTTTGTGTAATAGAAAATGGTTAATAAGAAAGAACTATATTGAATTGTGGTGTTAACTTCTAAAAGCCAATATTAAATGCTTATTATCTACGCTAAAGATACAGCCTTATATCGATTCAACCAGAAAATAATTCTTAGCTCAAAATAAACTGTTCAAAATCAGACAAGTCGGAAACAGAACACGACAAAAGGTTCTGTTTGCATGCACTCATTAAGATAATTGCGTGTTTGTTTCACAGATTTCGACGGACATCCGGGTCCTGAACCGAACGTCCACCTCATCGCTATTTATGTAAATGTGCCAAATAGTAACAATTTATTGGCTAGTGGTGAGGTCGCCGTGCCTTTCATCTCACCCGTCCCAAGCTTAGGAACCGGTATTCACAGAATCGCAGGCGTCTTGTATGAGCAGAACGACCGCATAGATCCTGACCAAATTGGATTTTTAAAGTGAGTATAACTACGTATAATTGTAGATAGCGAATTTGGTAAGATACTTTCTGTGTTTGCTGCAAGAATTCCCTTTTTTTAAGCCTAGGTCTGGAAGGATATTACAGAAGATGTGTTAATTTGTATTAGACAAAGAATAAATATAAAACAGAAAAAATAACTAACCTTAAAATATAGTAACTAAAATATATTATTAAAAGCAGTCCCTTTACGCAAGGTTCCGAAGATACTGGCAGCGTTCCCGGTCTCCTGTAATACGATTTATATCTTAACTAGTAGACTAGTAGATCAAAATGCACGTGATAGAGCGGGGCATTATTTATTTTATAGGTTAGGTATTCATGATAAAATTGAAAGAATGGCGCTTTGAACATTTATTATGATTCTCGAATAGTTATATTATCGTTTTAATACTAATAATGATTTGCGATACATATATTGTTTATTCACAGATTGGCAAAAAGCCGTGTTCTACAACTGGAACAATTCGCAAAGACCTACAACCTCAAACCTGAGCCTGTGGCGGGAGCTTTCTACACCACTGAACTCAAAAGTTGCGGAATTTCCAAACACTAATACTTTATCATTTAAATTAGTATATATGTTCTTGGAAATAAACATTGTTATTGAATTCAACAGATTTTTATTACCACGAAATTAATTATAATTTTAAATTTCATTTTATCTTTAAAATAATAGCCCAGCACAAGGAGCCTCGCACGAGGAATACAGTTGACATGCTGGTGACTTTGGGTTCCTAAATTAAATAATTGTTGTCACTTGGGAACCTGAGCAGTTTTTCGATGTCTTGGTCTGCGACGTAGTTCAGGGTAGGCCATTAATAGGTAAGCATTAAGAGCCCTGGTTAAGACGTCTAAACCATGATTGTAAGAAGACCAAGAACATTTTTTTTACCGTTCTCAAAGGAGGTGGAAGCTGTTCTTGAGAGCAGAGATGAGTTTGTAGTTAGGTCACTAGTCTATGGAGGGTGACGAAAATTCAGTCTCAAAGAAGATGAGCTGGATTCGGTAGCAGGAAGCCCTCTTTATGAGGTCCTTGAAATTAATATAATTAGTTCGTATATGTCAGTATTTTTTGTAAATAGTGTTATTTATTTTAAAATTAATAATTTTTCTAATAAAAATTGAATTTTAATTATTGTTTTAAAGCGTTACTTTGTGACCAGTTGACATTATTTATATCCTCGTTAATAGATAATTAATATCCAGATGTACGTAGATAGATAGCGTCTTCTTTGTTTTGATGCACCAAAATGTGGTAAATATAACCCGATACGCCACATCAGCGTTTCCAAATCTCACCATCAAGGTCTTTAACTGATAGTTCAAATCAATCAGATACTGCGTCCATTTCATTCATCATGGTTTAGTATCAACGTTTTTGCGAGAAACACAAAACAATTAATGTTTTACCAAGAAAACCCATGTCATGGTTATATGACTTACACTCCGTGTGCGCTAACCTAAGTCACGTATGAGGTACACAGTTACGATTCTTAGAACATTAACATTATTTTTTTGCCTTTTGTACCAGATGGCCATATAAGATCTTTTTTTTCAGACTATTCTAAGATAAAGGCGTAGAGGGATGTGTTCGGGTTTGTCGTGTCCAGTAGGGGTCAGGAGGGTTGTATAATAACCGGCAGACACAGAAATCAGATAGATCACCTACTTGCCTGTAACATATTTTTCCTATAGACTTGTAGTGCCAAATTATTATCATTGGTAGTTTAATTAGTTTTTAAATGTACTTTTATATAAGTAAATGAAAAATGCAATTGGTAAAATTAATTAAATTTTTAATTTATTTTCTTATGACTAACGTCATTTAAATACAATGACATTGAAAAACTTAATTATTGTAAAAAACCTTACAGTTTTTAATTACTTTACAATTATTAGAAAGTATAATTATATAGTAATATATATTTTAAAAAACTCGTCGAAATGTAAACCTTGACTTTACTATAAAGTAAGAAATTAACAAATAAAATTACTAAAAAAAACTAATTAAATTACACGAAATTTACCACACAATTTCTATTAATTAATAAAGAATACAACCACAAATTCAACAACAATAACTATAAGTAACGTCTATATTATCTAGTGCGAGCGGCGAAGAAGTGAGCACGGCCATATCGCGCGCCGTGCTTTTATAGCCTCAAAACCAGTTCAGTATTATATAATAAAGCCTTTAGAGCCAAATTTTTATTTCATCCGAAGGTAATTAATTGCTCATAGAAAAATAATTAAAACTGTTGATGAAACTAGCAATAAAATAAAACTCCTCTACAAGATCACTCCCTGACCGGGATTACTGAAAAGCTTTCGAAAGCTCGAGTTACGTATAGCATGTAATAAGTTTTATCAATAAAAAGTGTTTGCCTGAATGTAGGTAAAAGAAGAAGATAAATGACAATGCATTTATATATACATATATAAATACGTTTTATATATATATATTATATCCCTTAAATTATAGAAACCCGTCTCCAAGTCTCAAGAATTTAATATCAACCAATAATTTAAAATACCCAAATTGTAACTGTAAAGGGATGGACATAGGGGGCCGCGGTTTCAATGGCAAATCACGTCCTGGAATGCGGACACGCCTGCCTTGCGATTCTGTAACTCACTTTTCGAACTCACACAGCGGTTTTCACAGCGGCGGTCGCGCTCAAATCAGTCGTGAAGCAGTCATTTTATGATTTGGCATTCTGATAAGGAGGGAGCTTGTAGTTTATTGTTTGCACTGTTACCGTGTCCTGCCTCAGAGATTGCTGGTGGCGCCTTGGGATTTCAGTGCACAGTAAAGAGTCCCACATAACTCTTCATCACAAGGCAGTCGTTCCGCGGGATGTGAACCCATTTCCCCATAGGAGAAAAAAAAGTTGAACAAATCTGCGGTCTTTCATACTACATAAAACCTTGAAAAACATACAATGTTACTTTAATATTACAAGTAATTAATTTTAAGACCAATTAACTCCTCATACCAAAAATAATATATAAAGAGCATTGTTAAGTCTAAGTGACTATTCTATTGACGACTTGAAAAGAAATTTTACAAAAATGCGAATATTGTTAAGTATATTATTTGTAGTTCTGGGATCACATGGGGTATTGGGAGAAAAGCTTTACACCTGTACCTGTATCCCTGGATTCTTGAAGGCCAAACTAGGCGGGTCTGTTCCAAACGCCTTCATGAAGCATGGAATTACTCCGAGATTCTTGCCGGTCCCGCCTAAGGATAAGCTTAACGTAAGACTTTAAGTTTGACTATATTTAACTGTATTTTAATGTATATGATTGTTTTTAATTATATTGAAAATAAGAAGTCCGATATGGCGCTCTTTAATCACCACATTCACTTAATGAATTAGCTGCAGTTGTTTCACTAGGAATTGAGATATATTTTAAATATTAAAACAAAAACTATTGTTTCAGTGTGCTTTTATGAAAGCAAATGTGGAGTTAGGAAATTTCATTGATCCACTCAGAACTGTAGACATGAAGTATATTGCGTATCCACATGGAAAGAGTGATGTTAAATACACGTTATTTCTCGTTGGTAATAAGACATTAAACTTTTATTTTAAACTTTATTGGTTATCACATAGTGTGGAGTTAAAGATATTTAATAAAAACAGTTTTGAATAAACTATCAAAACGTTCTTACATTTAAATATCAGGTCAGGGACTGTATTTTGTAACAGAATTTTATCAAAGTACGCAATACAATAAGTAATATGTTCTATACTCTACAGATTTTGATGGTAAACAAGGCCCTCCTCCGAACGCACACCTTATAGGCATATACGTAAATGTACCAAACAGCGAGAACTTATTGGTTGGGGGTGACATAGCTGTACCTTATATTCAACCTGTGGCAACTTTAGAAAGTGGTATTCACAGAGTAGCAGTACTCTTGTATGAGCAGAACGACCACATTGACCCTGATGATATGGAATTGATGAAGTATGTCATTGGTTTATAATTATTTTTTATATAATGTTTTTGTATGAACTCGGTTTTTTGACTGGTTACTGCTATGTTTTGTTTTTTCTCTCGTTCTTTGTAGGTAGTTAAAGTGGGTGAATCGAATGGTCTGAACATACTAAATGCAATAGGTGAATATATTTATATATTTCTTTACAGATTGATAAAAACTCGTGTTATACAACTGGAACCGATGGTCAAGAAGTATAATCTCAAACCCGAGCCCATAGCGGGGGCTTTCTACACGAGTGAACTAAATCTATGTATCAATAAGCCACTTTAATCTGATCTGTAGATCTTAAAATTAATGTATGTTATAAAAACTTACATTAATAAGATAATTTTTTATTAGCCTATGAACCAAAGCCTACAAAACTTGTAGTCATTTAATGATGAAAAGAACCAGACGTTTTTGCTTGGAGTCGAGAATGCCGCTAAAACCTTCAAGAAAATAATATGCTTTTACATTGTGTCTTGCTATCTGTAAAAATTATGCATGTCTATCTACATTATACATTTACATTTTAACTACATGAAAACTTTGTAGGTATAACTGTCACAAAAATAATATTAAACGCAACATTCAAATGTTCCAAACTCTCTCCTTTTTTTTTATATCCGAGTTGGTAATGGCCCCCATAGACTACGAATGTCTATGGGACTCAACTCTACTACTCAGAGAGCTGGGTGAGCGACATCAACTAAAACCATCTGGGTTCTCCTGCACTGCTGCGCTCAGAGGCTTTCGGGTTCGCTGCCGTATTCTACCAGATGAAATTGACCTCTGGCCATGTTCTGAATTATTATAATATTGCGACCTACGAAAATGACCTGCATCTGCACCTTCAAATAATTAAACCAAAAGAGATATATTTTCACAAGACGTCGCGGGTAACACTTATGTTTTCCGTGGTCAAAAGTTTTGGTAGTTTGTTTTTAATGTGTTGTTCATTCGTTTTATAAATAAAAACGGATAAATAAACTCCGATACATACTGTATCGGAGTTTTGCAATTTAAATTATAGATATTGACTATTGTTAAATACAGTTTTTAACATAATTTGCATAAACAATTAAATACTAGCTGTGCCCTGCACTTTCACCTTCCTTTATTTTGGTCGTTGCTTGGTGTATAGTATTCACTTCCTGAGATCAAGGAAATAATTTTTCAACAACAGTTTTCATTAATACTCCGCTCATATTGATCGTAAATTGGTCAAAATAAAAAATCTTTCTGCTTTATAATATAAGTGATGTAGATATACTCTCTCACTTTACAATCTGTTTGTATTGTACATGATATGACAGAAAGAGACGAAAGAGAGCTTTCTCGTTTAGGTTGGGCTGGCGGGGCAGTACCACTGTTTCAAAGAAAACTGGCGTGAAGTGGTGCAATAGGTTCATCTCAATGTATTCGCGTTTCATGAGGTTAAAGTTTTGTGCAATGTATTGAAATTTGTAAACAATCCGCCATTATCTACTTTTCTATTGGTTATAAGAGAATAAGAGATGTGACATTCACTTTAAACAATAGTTTTTTAATTAATCGATTGTTAATAATCGTTTTTTAAGTAACGGATTTCTAACGGATGTTCTGCACTGTAAGACTGTTCACACACTGTTCTAGCAAAATCCACATTCGAAATGGCCGTTTGCGTTTATAAAATTAATAGGGATGTGAAAAATAAATATTATTAAATTCTTTAAAAGTGAAAATCGATTTTTGTATTCGATTTTAAAATTAAAATTAATTGAAAATCAATCATAGTTGATCAGTTTCAGTTGAACAGTTATTTAAAAAAAATATTAATATACTAACCTAACGCTGGCCATAGACGGACCGCATGTTGCATCAAGACCGACTACTGTAGAGCGGTCGCGTTGAAGTCGTACACGACTGCAACACGACCGTATAATGCAGTTGTGGTCGACCGCAAAATAATATTGATGCGAGTTCATTTACAAGATGGATTTCGATGAAGAAACACTGCTACTTTAGAATGTCCGTGGTTTCATTTGATGAATTAGGTAGTTTTTATTTTATTTGAGGGAGTGGCGTGCGGTCGGCAGCAACCGCTTGTAGCGGTGGGTCCGGCAGCTCTAAACAGTCGACCGCACGGCGAAACTCGACCGCTCAGAAACTGGTCGTGCGGTCCGTGTATGGGGGATATGAATTTAGTATGGAAACTGCAGTACGCCGTGCGGCGACCGCTTAGAGCAGTCGGTATCGACTGCAACATGCGGTCCGTCTATGGCCAGCGTAACCTAACCGAACAATAATAATAATAAATTTTTGGACACCTCTTAAAAAAAAATATTAATATACTAACCTAACCGAACAAGAATAATAATTCACCCTTGCGTACCAAAGCACAGGCAATTTATTCAAGCCTCCGCAGCTTAGGCTTTTTGCCAGTCTTAGCCGCTAGGGCTTGCATAATGCCTGTGCTTTGTTACAGCGGGTGGGGGCTGCTCTTCCTCCGCGCCTCCGATTTTTTATATACACTCCAGGGGTAGGGCAGACAAGACCACGTGGATAGTGGGGTGCTCTGATTCGGTTTTGAGTACTTTTTGGATATTAAAGTAAACACTTTATTCTAGTAAGAATTAAATAATACAGAAAGATGCAAACAATGGAATACAAGTACCTACTAATTAGGAAATACAGACGAGTAGGTATCAATAATTTCAAAATTTTCGGAACCCTATAATCTATCAACACGAAATTAGGTTCATTTCAATATTGATTATTCTATAACTTTAAATTTAAAAAATAAATAAAAAATCGATAGATTAAAAACACGATTTTTTAAATAGAAAAGTAGAAAATGGCGGATTGTTTACAAATTTCAATACATTGCATAAAACTTTTTTTTTTAATACTTAGACGCGTTTCCGGCAGCAAAAATCACTTGGAGGTGTTTCAATGAAGGTCCCTCCCTCCTGCATAATTAGTATCATAAAATAAGTGCCACGACGTTTAAAACCCAACCCATAGTAACGCTACTGCTAGCTTCACAACGACTAAAATGATTCATGTGAAACTCTTCATTCGTTTTTAACCGATTACAAAAAGGAAGATGACGCTGCCTACTGCTATATAATTACAATTAATATTTTGCTATTCACATCAAGCTACAATTGCCAACTGAAAAGGACATTTTTGTCAACTGTCACGTCAAGACCTTATTTCGAATAGTCTTTACAACAAAAATGTATTTATATTTTGCCCTATAATATTCTTTTAATTTTACATACGTGTTAAAAACATAAGAAAATGATGCCTTAATGATAAACTTACAGCACCTTTATCGAAACCATTACTAAACGAAACTTTTACTAAATAGTTATCAATGCCATTTTGTTTAAATCGTGAAAATGTAAAAAGTCTATTTGTTATCCCAGTATTTTGATAGATGGCTAAATTTAAACGTGACTTAACTGAAATTTACAAGATTAACTATGGTTTAGGGGGCCTCATTATTATTTATTTATTTATTTATTTAAATATATTTATTCACAAAAAAGTTACACCTTAAATCAAACCATGCCCCGCAAAACTGCTTACGCAGTTTGACTGCAGGTGACTCGCCTTAAATAAACATAACTTCTAAATCACTTAATTACTAACACTGCTACTACAACTAATACTAATACACTTAAATTACTTATAGGTTACAGCATATTTAACAAATGGTTTTTTAATAAACCTCTAAATTTATCCAATGAAGTCTCACGTCTTATGTCCTCGGGTAAACTATTGAGCAAGTATGGAATCCGCTTCTTCAACGTTCTATCTCCATAATAATTTTGCACCATGGGTATTTCAAATTTACCTTTGGACATTGACCTTGTGTCAGTTATATGATGCACCAAACTAGTAAAACGATCCTGCTTACCATGGTTATTTACAAGTACAAGGAATCTATGTTTCAGGCTAGCCGGTAAAATTTTACATATTTTGAATAGTTTATAATAATCTCCTTTACATTGATTCCTTGTCTTTTTATTTACTAGTAATTTTAAAAATCTTATTTGTAATGATTCTACTTTATCAATGTATGTTTTAAATGTTAACCCATAGCAGTCAAGAGCGTAACCTATTATGGAATCCACAAGTGCAAAATATAAACATTTTAGTATGGGCAATGAGACTTTAGTACGTAAATGGTAAAACTTTTCTAATAAAATTCTTAGTTTTCTACACAAAAATTCTATATGGGAATCCCAAGAAAAAGACGTATCTATTTTTACTCCTAGGTAATTTACACAATTAACTTTTTCGATAGGTTTACACGTACAGTTAATTTTGTTGTTATGAAAGCAATCAAAGCCGTGCGCAAAAAGAGGAGGTGGATTATCAATAGAACTTAAATACGGGGAGTGAATAATTATCATCTTTGTTTTGTCAGCGTTTAATATAATGCCGTTATCATGTGACCATTTAACTACCGCATCCACATCCTCTTGAACCCGGCGACACATCTCCGAGAGGTCGGTAGCGGTACTAGCGCTGAGAGTACAAAGGTCATCAGCAAACATGTGGGCCGAGCAGTGACGTAATACTTCACAGAGGCTATTTACATACATCAGGTAGCACACTGGTCCACACCCAGAACCCTGGGGGACGCCGCAGTTTACTTGTTTCTCCTCACTGAATGCGTCGCCGACTTTCACACGGTAAGAGCGCGCCGTGAGACAGTCGCTGAACCAAGGGTTCAACGGCTGCCCCAGGCCGCACTCCTCCATTCCATTTAAGAGGGTCTCAGTATTTAAGGTATCAAAAGCCTTCTTAAAATCATAAAAAATAGCTACAATAATTTTTTTATTTTCCAAATGTGCATTAATTTCGTATGTAAAATTTGATAATAAGGTGTTGGTGCTTTTATTTTTCTGGAAGCCATGTTGACATTCCGTTAAGATATTATTTTTTTGTAAAAAAGTTCCAATTTGATTGACAACACATTTTTCCATAATTTTGTCAATACTTGATAGTATAGCTATTGGTCTATAATTCGAAAAAACTTTACGATCGCCTCTCTTATAGACCGGACGAACGATTGCTTCCTTTAATTTTTGTGGAAATTTGTGATATTTTACAGATAGATTTATCAGATTAGATAATACAGGGCTAATCTTGTCAACAATTATTTTTAAGTCAGACATGCGTATAAGATCACTGCCCGGTGATTTATTTTTGTTCATTTTATCAATTATTAGTTTTATATCCTTGCCATCGACCGGTTGCCATCTCATACACACATTCGATAATTTAACATAAGTCTTCCTTTCCAGCCATTTTTCATCACAGGAGTGCTTTATTTGATCAATTTCCTTTGAGAATGTATCAGCAAAATCATTACAGACTGCCTGCGTGCCACCTTGTTTAGTTATGTTATTTAAGATTAGATTATCCAAAGACTGCTTATTTTTACCCAATAATTCATTAATTTTATCCCAAACTTTTTTTATATTATTATTACAATTTGAAATTGTTTTTTTATCATGTTCTACGTTACATTTAAAAATTGCCTTTTGACATTTGTTCCTGTACCTAGTATATGTTAGTCTTTTTACCATATTCTTTGGATCACTACACCATATTTTGAATAATCTATCTTTTTCAATAACCATATTTTTTAAGCTATTGTTTAACCAATACTTTTCATTTCTAGAATCCCTGTTACCAGTCATATTTTTTACTTTATAACATTGGTTGTATACCTATGTCTCTAAATAAAGTAGATAGCTCGTCATATAATTTAAATGGGCATTCAATATTTAAGAGATGATCGAAGTTGGTTTCTAATAATTTTTCTCTGACTAATCTATTGTCAAGCACACGGCGGTAGCGCTGGGTCATCCGCATAGCCTAGTGGTCTTATTAAGTGGCAGCTAGGTGAGGGTTCGATTCCCGTTTCGAGGGCAAGTTTTAATTTAATTTAAAAATTTAAATTAATATATAATAACAAATGTTCTCGGCCTTTGGGAGGGTTGTGGGGTACCGGGCGAGTGCTTAAATCTTGTAAATTTCAGTTAAGTCACGTTTAAATACATGGAGGACACGGTCGAATTTCTAAGGCAAGCACGAATTATAAAAATCTTATATACTTGACGCTGGCTAATGCACAAACCGTGCCAGAGCCATAAAAAAAAAAAACTATGTTTGAAAGATACTACACCAGTTGTCACCTAGCACTTACGGAATCGACTTATAATTGTAATAAAAAAGGGTAACTATTTGTTTAGCTACGTCAGATTTTTTCACATTAATGTAAATTATTTACTATATATACGTATATTTGATAAAGTTTGTTTTTATTGACCTTTAATATCGATTCTTTTGGTCGACCTTTGAGGTCAATCATGTTTAATTGACCTATACCTATTGACCTATGCATAAAATACCTTTAAAATAAATTATAATAACAAATAATAGCAAGAATTCGATTTTGAATATATACGTAGAAACGTTTTTAAACAAACTACATAATTGAAAAATTAATTTTTGCACAAGTGTTACTATAAATTAAAGTTACTATAAAAAGTTATCATAGAAAATATTAAATTATATGACTCTACACCTTTAAAAGTAGCCGAGCATTTAAAAACTCAAAAATATCTCTTATAACTTACTCACTTTTTTATAAAGAGATAAATAATGATGCGAAATCGTAAATTTTTGCTTCTTTTAAATTTAGTTTGTTTAATAACGGTTTCGAAATCAAGTGCGTTATGTAAGGGCTGTATTATTAGCTACAAATAGTTATTTCGTCTGTCCTTTGACATTGGCCTTTCATCTCGCTCTTCAAATACCTACCGTTGTTGAAGGTTAAAATAGTTTGGAAAATCCAAAAGTGCACGCCTCGTAGCGGTCATTCACATTTAAAAAAAATTAAAAACTTTATTAAAAACTCAAGTTTTTTAAAACAAAATAACAAATAAATAAAATATTATCTTGAAGTTTCACGCTACGAATAATATTTAAACACACATATTTAGTGGCGCCATAACTCTAAGGTGAGGTCGAAACAGTCTGAAACAGTCGTATTTTAGTTTTTTACAAATTATAATTAAACGACAGTAGGTACTAAGAACGCTAATATATAGAAATCAGCCCAGGGTATAACTTTATATAATAAGAAAAAAAGTATTCTGGTACACAAACACAGACTGACGGACGTCCAAGAATGATTGATTTTAATGTTATTATTTAATATGTTAAACAAAATAATTGATCATAAAAAATATCATATGTGCTTGACAGATTATTTATCTCGATTTAAGTGCACTCATATTATCCTGTAAGTGTTATATTAGTGAGAAAAAAGTCATTCAAGTTTCGAAAGACTGGGTTTTTTGACATGTCGAGAGTAGAGCACTGCGAGGCGTGCAAAAACAGGAATTTGCATATTACTTTTAAAAACGGATTATACAATTTATTTAATCACACTGAACATCACTTTTTCATTGTTTATTATCTATTCTGCCATTGGACTAATTTATAAACAAACCCGCGATCTTTAATACAATCTTTGACAAAAAATAGAGACATGACAAAAGCAATTAGTTTTGAGCTAGGTAATTAATGAGTTAATTATAAAAAACAATATATAAAGCGTTGTTCTTTGTCAAAGAATACATTATAATATTGTATACTTGGAAAGTAATTTACCAAAAATGCGATTTTTAATTATATTATTTGTCGTAGGGTCGTATGGAGTCTTGGGAGATATTCCTACGAGTTCCAAAGGGATTTATTGCCTAAAGATACCAAGCAATGTACCTGTATCTCTTCATACCAGAAAGCCAAGTTGAAAATATCTGCCCCAATGGCCTTTAAAAAGTATGGGATTTCGCCGAAATACTTGCCCGTTCCGCCTAAAGATAAGCTTAAGGTAAGGCATTCATGTATATTTTTTAAATGTTCTGCCTGTCCCGATTTCGCACAGCTGGATATTTAAAAAAAATTGTATTGAGAATTACCTATTTTAACAAGGATAATGTAGCATTCCAGTGGGAAAACATTTTTGATATCGATTCTCTAGTTTTTAAATTTATTCTTTAAAAACATACTAAAATAAAAATAACTTTTCTTGGGTTACAAGAATATATTTAATTTGATATTTTTATGTAATAATGATATATTTTTAATTTACGAATTTTGCTTTCTTATTTCTTTTCGATTTATCACAACCGGACCACCCCTTTCACAACGACATTTTTTATTTGAAATATAAATTGTTAGGTATTAATAATAATGATAAAGATAGATTTTATTATAATGGTGTATTAATAATTGCAGGGTGGTTTTGTGACAGCTGCTGTAGAGTTGGGAAATTACATTGACCCAATTAGAACTATTGATCCAGAGTATATTAGTTATCCAAAAGGAATGAATAGTGTAAACTACACTCTAATAATGATAGGTAAGTAGAGATCCTACTCCTACGTATGCTAGCATTATCACGTGCTAAGATCACGGTCCTCCTTGAAATTGTGAACTCTAAATCTTTTTCTAATAGAAAATGGTTAATTAGAAAGAACTTTATTGAATTGTGGTGATAACTTCTAAAAGCTTATATTAAATGCTTAGTATCTACGCTATAGATACAGCCTTATATCGATTCAACCAGAAAATAATTCTTAGCTCAAAATAAACTGTTCAAAATCAGACAAGTCAGAAACAGCACTCGACAAAAGGTTCTGTTTGCATGCTCCAGTTCAAAATTGCGTGTTTGTTTCACAGATTTCGACAAACATCAGGGGCCTGCACCGAACGTCCACCTCATCGCTATTTTTGTGAATGTACCAAATAGTAAGAATTTATTGGTTGGTGGTGAGGAAGCTGTGCCTTTCATATCACCCGTCCCAAACTTAGGAACCGGTATTCACAGAATCGCAGGCGTCTTGTATGAGCAGAACGACCACATAGACCCTGACCAAATTGAATTTTTAAAGTGAGTAGAACTACGTATAATTGTAGATAGCGAATTTGGTTAGATACTTTCTGTGTTTGCAGCACGAATTCCCTTTTTTTAATCCTAGGTCTGAAAGGATATTACAAGAGATTTGTTAATACTATTTATATTATAACTAGCAGTTTTAATAGTATTCATGATAAAATGTAAGAAAGACGCTTTGAACATTTATTACTTTTAATAAGATACTCGCGTAGTTATATTATCGTTTTAATACTAATAATGATTTGAGATACATATATTGTTATACTGTTTCTTCACAGATTGACAAAAAGCCGTGTTCTACAACTGGCAGAATTCGCAAAGACCTACAACCTCAAACCTGAGCCTGTGGCGGGGACTTTCTACACCACTGAACTCAAAAGATGCGGAAATTTTAAACACTAATACTATTTCATTTAAAATTAGTATATGTTCTTGAAAATAAACATAATGCTATTGAATTCAACTGATTTTTATTATTACCACGAAATAAATTATAATTTTATTTTTTTTTATCTTTAAAATAATTCTACTAAATAATGGCTCAGCACAAGGAGCCTCGCATGAGGTTTATTAAAAGCATCCAGTTGACATGCTGGTGACTTTGGGTTCCTAAATTAAGTCGATGTCATGATCTGCGACGCAGTTCAGGGAAAGACTTCCAAACCACGACTGTTAGAAGACCAAGAACATTGTTTTAACCGTATCATAACCGTTTATAACCGTAACCCATATCACGGTGATGTGACTTTCATCCCGCGTGCGGTATTTGGTGAAATATTGACATTTCGATTTTAAAATCAAAATCCAATAAAGAGTTATGATTCTTAAAACATCATTTTTTTGCCTTTTCCACCAGATATCATAAAACATCATTTTTTTGCCTTTTCCACCAGATGTCATAAAAGATCATATTTTTTTCAGACTAGGTATTCTAAGATAAAGGCGTAGAGGGATGTGTTCGGGTGTGTCGAGTCAGGAGGATTGTACCTATAATACCCGGCAGACACAGAAATCGGATAGATCACCTACTTGCTTATAAATTTAAGGACGTCCTTGAGTGCCTATAGAGTTGTAGCGCCACATTATTACAAGTGGTAGTTTAATTAGTTTTTAAATGTACTTTTATATAATTAAAGGAAACATACAATTGGTAAAATTAATTAAAATTTTAATTTATTTTTCTGACTGACAAAAAACTTAATTATTGTAAAAACCTTACAAGTTTCTATTACTTTACAATTATTAGAAAGTATATATATATATTATATATATATAATATTATAGTAATAAATATTTAAAAAAAAAACCTTGACTTTACTATATACTAAAGACCTTAGATCCATATTTTTATTTCATCCGAATGTAATTAATTGCTCATAGAAAAATAATTAATTAATAGTGTTAATGAAACTACCATTAAAATAAAACTCCTTTACAAGATCACTCCCTGAACGGGATTTCTGAAAAGCTTTCGAAAGCTCGAGTTACGTAAACCATGTAATAAGTATTACCACGAAATAATTGTTTTCTAGTTACCCACAACACAGGGCCTCCCTAGTGTGGGGACTAGCGATTTATGATTTCTGTCACAAACCCTTCTGTCATTAATAAAGTTTTTATTATTATTATTATCAATATAAAAGTGTTTGCAACAATGTAGGTAAAATTAGTAGATAAATGACGACGAATTTATACATACGTATATAAATACGTTTCATATATAACCTATATCCCTCACATTATAGAATCCCATCTCCAAGTCTCAAGAATTTAATTTCAATGAATAATTTAAAATAACGCCCCCCCATATTGTTACTGTAAAGTGATTATATTGTAACATTAAAAAAATCATGATGATAAGTTCTGTAGTTAGATCAAATGTAGGCACGCAAACGCTTCAAATGGGGAATAAGGGTTCATGCGACCAAAAGAAGATCCCTTCTTGCTGGCGCATCCTTGTACCCCCAGCTCTACAAGTCGGGGAGAGTTGGCCGATCTGAGTGGCCACATCATTCATGGCCATAGTGGGCCGCGATTTCAACGGCAAATCACGTCGCGGGATGCGAACACGTCTGCGCTGTTACTGCATCCTGCCTCGGAGATTGCTGGTGGCGCCTTGGGGTTTCAGTGGGTATGCACAGTAAAGAGTCCCACACGAGTCCAGTCCATCACAAGGCAGTCATTCTAAATTCTAGTGAACTAATTACCCCAGAGGAGGAAAAAAGTAAAACAAATCAGCGGTCTTTCATACTACATAAAACTTTGAAAAACAACAATGTTACTTCAATGTCACAAGTAATTAATTTGAAGATTAATTTACTCCTCATACCAAAAACAATATATAAAGAGCATTGTTTTAAGTCAAAGTGATTATTCTATTGACGACTTGAAAAGTAATTTTACAAAAATGCGATTATTGTTAAGTATATTATTTGTAGTACTAGGATCATGTGGGGTATTGGGAGCATTGCCTCACACCTGCTCCTGTATACCTGGATTTTTAAATGCCAAACTAAAGCTGTCTGCTCCAAAAGCCTTCAGGGAGTTTGGAATTGTTCCGAGATTCTTGCCGGTCCCGCCTAAGGACAAGCTAAATGTGAGAATTTAAGTTTGACTATATTTGACTGAATTTTATCGTATATGAGTATTTGATTATATTTGATTGTTTTTAACTATATTTGACCGGAAATGTGGTCCGATATGGCTCTCTTTGCTCACCACATTCACTTAATTATTAGATGCAGTTGTTTCACTAGGAATTGAGTTATATTTAAAATTACGTCTCGGAGTATAAAGGTTGGTCAAAACTCCTAATTATTGATTTAAGACTAAATATTAAAACCAAAACTATTGTTTCAGAGTGCTTTTATGACAGCAAATGTGGAGTTAGGAAATTTCATTGATCCACTCAGAACAGTAGACACGAAGTATATTGCGTATCCACATGGAAAGAGTGATGTCAATTATACGTTATTCCTCGTTGGTAAACCACTAAACTTTTATTTTAAACTTTATTGGTAATAACATGGTGTGGAGTTAAAGATATATATTATTATTTAAGTGACAACATCTTTAGCGGCGTTGTACACTTTTTTGAAATGCGTAAAAAAATGTTAAACTAGCGTCAGGACACGTGACCTGTTCGAAAATTCGTAAGACGGACGGAGAGTAATTAAGTAAATTGAGTAAATTGTCATGTTTGTGTACGATAGCGCAATAAATAAATATTGTATTCTTCCACATAAATGATACTGTTTTTATATTGATAATTAAAGCAATTCGTGCAAAATTATTCCCTAACCATTCCAAAATATCAAAAATGCACAACGTTAATATTGCAGTTTTCACTTCTGCCCGCGCTGCCGTAGTGCAACCCGTCGTTTTTGTTTTTGGGACCCCTACATCCTAGCCTATCAGACACGTCGAGTGACTAAGCGGCAGGGGAGTGTGGAAGTCTCCCCTTTCTTAAAAAGGGACATTATTATCTTAAAGACGCGACAACCCCTCCGAAAATATCGTCATAATATTTATGGGCGAGTCGGCTGCCCGCACAGGTAGTGCGTGGCATTTTTGTGAGTGACATCTTGCCGCAGAATTTTTCCAGCTGCGATCTGTGCTCAAGCAACATGTCGGATAGCCCATCTCGGGATACCCTCATGCCAGTCTCGAGCTCCAGATCGCACCTGGCTCTGTCAAATGTCGCACAGTCAACAAGTAAATGAACCACCGTTTGTTTGGTTCTGTCGTCACAGTCACACGCGGGGCTTGTCATCAGTTTGAGTCTGTGTAAATAGTGTCCAAAAGCCCCGAGGCCGGTCAGGATCTGCGTCATGTGAAGTGCGAAACGCCTTGCCTTGATTTGTTTGTATGCCGCATTGGCATCTTTGAAAAACATTTTTGTGTCTGAGGCTGTTTCGCCCCTACATAGCGCTCGTTCCAGGTGTCTAAAGTCTTGAGTTCTGACAGTCGTCGCAAATAGGAAAGTGGATACGCATCGTACCCTATTCGCGTCCCCGTCTCCCCAACGCCTCCCCCGCGAGAGCGTCTGCCCTCTCTTTTCCCGGAGTGGCAACGTGCGCCATTACCCAAAAGAGTTCAATTGTTAAAGATATTAAATTTTTTTTTTTTTGAATAAGCCTTCGAAACGTTCTTATATTTAAATATCAGGTTCCTGTATTAAAAAGATAGGAGTAATGGACTGTAGTTTTAAACAGAATCTCATCAAAGTAAGCAATACAACAAGTAACATGTTCTATACTTTACAGATTTTGATGATAGGCCTGTACGTAAATGTACCAAACAGCAGGAACTTATTGGTTGGGGGTGACATAGCTGTACCTTTTATTCCACCTATGCCAAATATAGGAACTCGTATTCACAGACCAGCAGCACTGTTGTATGAGCAGAACGACCACATTGACCCTGATGATATGGAATTGATGAAGTATGTCATTTATTATTTTTATTAATTTTTTTATATAATATTTTTGTATAAACTCTGTTTTTTGTGCGGGGTTTTTCTCTCGGCCTACACCCTCCGTCTTCTTTGCCGATGAGTAGAGATGTCTCATTCAAATTTAATGACGTGGAATAAGTGATAACTGTATCTTATGTTCCATAATAAACATATTTTTTTATTTATTTTATTTCTTTACAGATTGATCAAAACTCGTGTTATACAACTGGAACCAATGGTCAAGAAGCATAATCTCAAACCCGAGCCCGTAGCGGGGACTTTCTACACGACTGAACTAAGTCTATGTGGAAACATCATACACTAAAATCTCTGTAGATCTTAAAATAAATGTACGTTATTAAAACTTACATTAATAAGATTATTTTTTATTAGCCTATGAACCGATGCCAACAAAACTTGTAGTCATTTAATGATGAAAAGAACCAGACAATTAGCTGTGAGTCGAGAATGCCGCTAAAACCGTCAAGAAAATAAAATTCTTGTACATTGTTTCTTGTTATCTGTAAAAGTTATGCATGTCTACATTAAACATATACATTTACATTTTAACTACATGAAAACTTTGTAGATACCAAAGTAAAAACTGTCACAAAAATAATATTAAACGCAACATTCCAATGTTTCAAACTCTCCTGTTTTTTTGATATCCGAGATGGTAATGGCCCCCATAGACTACGAAGGTCTGTGGGACTCCACTCTACTCCTCAGAGGGCTGGGCTGGCTGCACTGCTGCGCTCAGGGGCTCTCGGGTTCGCTGCAGTATTCTACCGGGTGAAATTGACCTCTCGTCCTGTTCTGCATTATTATAATATGGCGACCTACGAAAATTATAGACCGTTGAGCAAATAAATAGATATTGACTATTATGTTAAATACAGTTTTAAACATAATTACACATATTACTAGCTGTGCGCTGCGGTTTCACCTGCCCTAATTTGGTCGTTGCTTGGTATTGGGGATCAGTCTAAGCTTCATCATACTCGGTTCAGTAGTCTTTGACATGTCCACACATATTAGGGTGTCAGATATGATACCTGGGTAGATACATAAGTTATCAAATATTTAAAGTGTACTTAATGATAAGAAGAGTACATAATTTAAAAAAAAACAAAGATTACACGTCCGTCGCGTCCAAGCAACCGAATGGAAAAGGAAGCGGAGGTGGTATTTAACGCATATCCCCTTCCGGAAAAATGACATGAGGCGATCTAGTCAGCAAAGAATTTATCCTCTGGGATAATGATAACATTATTTAAACTTACCTAGGTTTCTTTCTCTCTAAACCTTAAAGACATTTATTCTCATAACAGACAATAGTCACTTACATGAGAACTTATATACTAAAGATACAATTTATCACGTCGTGGGTCATTGAAGAGCTTCAAGGATGAATTAGCGAAGTACAACTTGGGTGGACTTTCATTTGCGTAGAGAACAGCCCTGCGGTTCTGTAACTCACTTTTCGAACTCCCACAGCGGTTATCGCATCGGCGGTCGCTCTCAAATCAGTCGTGAAGCAGTCATTTTATGAATTGGCATTCTGAAAAGGTGGGAGCTTGTAGTTTATTGTTTATCAGAATGCCAAATAAAATAATGCCTGATAGTCATTTAAAATTTTGTAGATTAATAAGCTGTATTAATCTAGCTATATTTGTTCGCAATTAATGTAATTTAAGATACTTTACTTAGTTCTTGTTGGTCAGGATTTATCCAACCTTTTTGTTCGTACAAGAGGCGAGTGGGGCGATATTTTCCACTACCTAAAGATATTTTTTGTGCACTTATAGGTACCACGGTATCACGATACCAGTTTCCAACACAATATGTAAGCGACATTTGGTACATTTAGAGGCAGGTGCTTTAAGAACTACAATATAGGCTTGCGAATAATCTTAAAGTCTGTAAGAAGTTTCTTAAATTACCTTTTTTATTTAGTGATTAAATAATATGAATCTACTTGAGTACAGTAAAAAAAAATATGTTCACGCCATCCAGTTACCTTTGGTCCTCTCTGGTCACATTCTCTATCCTTACCGCACCCATTCCCTAAACACCACTCTGTCTCTGGTGCGGTATTAAAGTGTAGAAGGAGGGGACCGTATTCGACATGCTCCCGCGCAGCAGAGAAGATCTATCCGCCGCCGCGAGGTCACGCGTGTGCTTTCGCTTGCGCTTACGCTTCATCCGCTTATTGTTCATATAGTTTTATTTGTGGTCTTCTCCCACGGAGACAGGTGAAGAGACGGAGGACTAAAGGTGAGTGGTGTTTCCATTATTTTTACGCCGCATTCCACTTGCCCGCTCGGCACTACTTCTATTTATTTCAATTCGTGATATATATATCTTATTTAATATGGAGACTCGTAAAGCAACATTAGAGAAACAAGGTGCTAACAGTTCGCTTGAAATTGAACGAGCCGTGTTAATAGCAAAACGCGACAATCTATTTTCACGATTACAAGATTTATATGATAGGTCTAAGAAAACATCGGACGAAACCGACATAAATTCTTTTTTATCGGGAATGATTTCGATTGACAACATTCGGGATAAATTTTCAGAAACTGTAAATAAAATAAATATAATCGAATTAACAATTAATCCCCTATACACTGTAAATTTTGAATGCATGAATGCATTTGAAGATATGTATTGTCATTCTAAGTACATGTTTGAAAAATTCAACAAATCAGTGGCAGGTAGCAATGGTTTGTCCGATTCAAACACCCAACGCAGATCGTTTCGTTTACCAAAGTTAGACTTGATGATGTTTAATGGTGATGTCATTAAGTGGCCGATATTTTATGAATCTTTTAAACGTACAATACACGAAAACCCTGACCTTACAGATCATGAACGCATTCAATATTTAATCAGTAAATTGTCTGATTCGGCCCTTTCAGTTTGTGCAGGTATCATTCCAAATGCCGAAAATTATTCTTTAATTTGGCAAACGCTTATAGACAAATACCATGACAAACGAAGTTTGGGTTCAGCCTATATGCAAAAGATTCTAGACTTCAAACCGCTTACCACCGCTTCACATAAAAATTTACAATTGTTTCTTGACAATTACTGCACCGCAATATCAAGTTTAGAATCATTACAATAAGAAAATTTAGCTGATTTTATTTTACTATATTTATCATGTAAAAAATTAGATTCTAGTACGATTCGTTCCTTTGAATTACATAATATGAATAACCCAACAATACCTAGTTATAAAGATTTAATTGCATTCGTACGCGAACATAATAGGATAGCTCAACATCTGGATCCTACTCGCACATTCGATAACAAACCGGTTTCGTCGCGTGCGTTCGTTTCGCTTACGGAGAAGCAGTCTTCTTGTTCATTTTGTAAACGCATCGATCATTTTAATTTATATAAATGTAATTCATTTAAAGAATCGTCTATCGAGGATAAATATACTTTTATCAAAAACAATAAAGGATGTTTTAACTGTTTAAGTTTATCGCATATGTTAAATAAATGTAAGTCTGCATGGAATTGTCGTCATTGCCGCATGAGACATCATTCAACGCTGTGTCGTAATGCGACAGTTTCTCAAGAAAACATTCACGCTAATAACTTGAATCGCATGAGCAATGCAACTGCGCAGGTTGCTGTGCCTCCCGCTAATAACACACCTTATGTACCTTCACGCAGCGACAATCAGCCGATTAATAACTCAAATATTTCGCTTTGTAATATTCGCCCCGCTATTTCCGAAAGCAATACATCGGAACTTATTGAAAATTTATCATCTTCTGATAATCAATTAGGAAAAATAGATTTTGATGGTTCAGAAAATAATTTAAAAGTTCTTGGTTTACAATGGTCTGATGAGTTTATGTACGCGGTTTCAATTAATCATAATAACCATGTGACTAAACGTAATATTTTGTCACTTATAGCACGACAATTTGACGTCCTAGGACTAATAGCTCCAGTCATACTTTACGCTAAACTAATTATACAACAATTACACCTTCTTAAAATAGGCTGGGATGAACCACTTCCTTCAGCTATAGTTGATGTTTGGCAAGTTTATATTCGGGAACTTCCATGTTTACGACAGCTACGTGTTCAACGACATTTAGGGGTTGAAGAAAAATCTACAATTTCTATAATTGCCTTTGCGGATGCCAGTAAAAAAGCCTATGGCACTTCTGTTTATTTAAAGACAAATAACTCTTTAAACTCTCCGCCTATAATTCGCTTAGTATGTGCTAAGTCGAAAGTTGCTCCGCTTAAAACCATTTCCGTTGCAAGACTAGAACTTTGCGCATGTTTACTCATGGCTAAGCTAGCTCAGCGGGTAATAGATACTTACAAGAAACGTCACGTCATTAATGACATTTTTTGTTTCACTGATTCAATGGTTGCACTACATTGGATTTCCGCATCTCCACACCGCTTTAAGACCTTTGTTGCTACTCGCATTACAAAAATAGTTTCTCATATTAGACCTGAAAAATTTCATCATGTTGCGGGTGATCAAAATCCTAGTGATTGTCTATCTCGCGGTTTGTCACCCACTGCATTTATAAATAATTCTATTTGGTTCACGGGCCCAAAATGGTTAGAATTGGAATCATCTGAGTGGCCAATTACTTCGGTTAATTCTGAAACAGCTGTTGATGTAGAAGAAGAAAGAAAAATAGTTTCTATTCCCACTACTGTTTGGAGTGATCCAAACCCAATTTTAGAACTGTCTCATCGAGTTTCTTCTTGGTTATTGTTTCTCCGTACAGTGGTATGGATATACCGTTTTCTGAAAAGACTTCCTAGATCTACTAGTATCTCTGCTGATGATATTAATTTTGCTGAAATACAGATTTTTAAGGTTTTACAAAAAGTATACTTCTCTGATGTTATCCATAACATTAAAACTAGTGGTCGCTGCTCACGTTCTATTCAAAGATTATGTCCTTTTCTAGATTCTGATGGGTTGATAAGGGTTGGTGGTAGACTAAAAAATGCCAATCTTCAGTATGATCACCAGCATCCTATTTTGTTACCGCAAAAGGATAGGATAATTGAGTTAATTATTTCCTATTATCATCATCATAACTGTCACGTTGGTCCAGTTACTTTAATGGCGATACTCCGACAACGTTTTTGGATACTATCTTGCCGTAGCATAGTGCGATCAATTATACATAAATGTAACTTTTGTTTCAAAGCAAATCCTCAACCTATGATACCGCTCATGGGTGACTTACCCGACTATCGTGTAAACGAATCTAAAGCTTTCGTTCATACAGCTGTAGACTATGCTGGTCCTATTTCAATAATTCCTTATCGAAAACGTGGAGTCCGCTCTATAAAAGCTTATCTTTGTATTTTTGTTTGTATGGTGGTTCGAGCTGTGCACGTTGAGCTTACAACAGACCTTAGTACTAGTTCATTTCTTTCTGCATTCAAACGATTTATTGCGCGTCGTGGTTCGGTTTCAATTCTTTATTCAGATAACGCAAAGAATTTTGTTGGAGCTAAAAATGCAGTATCAGATATATTTACACTTACAAATTCGAACGAATTTCGTGAAACATTTGCAACTGAGCTTTCAAATAATCGTATTCAGTGGAAATTCAATCCTCCTCGAAGTCCTCATTTTGGTGGCTGCTTCGAAATATTTGTTAAGGCTTTTAAGAACCATTTGCGTCGTGTAGTGGGTGAGCAGTTACTCACGTACGAAGACATGTTAACTGTTCTTACCCAAATTGAATCTGTAATCAATTCTCGACCACTTACACTTTTAAGTGAGGATCCATCTGAGCTCACGGCATTGACTCCGGCTCACTTCTTGATGTCATCACCATTAAAGTTTCTACTCGCAAAGATAAAAATAAATGATGAACCACTTTCACTTTAAAAACCGCTTTATAAAACCGCTTAACAATCCGCTTAATAAACCGCATAACAAACCGCTTTATAAAACCGCTTACAAACCGCTTTATAAAACCGCTTTACAGTCCGCTTAATAAACCGCATAACAAACCGCTTTACAAAACCGCTTACAAACCGCTTTATAAAACCGCTTTACAGTCCGCTTAATAAACCGCTTAACAAATCACTTTAAAAACCGCTTTACAAATCACCCTACAAACCGCATTACAATCCGCTTAATAAACCGCTTGACAAATCACTTTAAAAACCGCTTGATAAACCGCTTTATAAAACCGCTTTACAATCCGCTTAATAAACCGCTTACAATCCGCTTTATAAAACCGCTTTACAGTCCGCTTAATAAACCGCTTAGAAACCGCTTTACAAAACCGCGTTACAAAAAGCTTTATAAAACCGCTTTATAAAATCGCTTTACATTCGCTTTACAAACTCGCATTAATATTTTTATTACATCATATAATTTCTTTCTTTAATTTACAAATTATCTCTTTATAAAAAACCTAAAGGTTTTTTAGGCCGGGGGCAATGTTCACGCCATCCAGTTACCTTTGGTCCTCTCTGGTCACATTCTCTATCCTTACCGCACCCATTCCCTAAACACCACTCTGTCTCTGGTGCGGTATTGAAGTGTAGAAGGAGGGGACCGTATTCGACATGCTCCCGCGCAGCAGAGAAGATCTATCCGCCGCCGCGAGGTCACGCGTGTGCTTTCGCTTGCGCTTACGCTTCATCCGCTTATTGTTCATATAGTTTTATTTGTGGTCTTCTCCCACGGAGACAGGTGAAGAGACGGAGGACTAAAGGTGAGTGGTGTTTCCATTATTTTTACGCCGCATTCCACTTGCCCCTCGGCCTACTTCTATTTGTCTTCGCCGCTACAAAATAATTTATGTAACCATGGTAACTGGGCCCACATTACACGATCAATGAACTAAAACGAATAAATACAAAAAACACAAATATGAAAAACAAAGAAGGAATGAAATTGATAATATTAAAATAAAAAAAAACATTTGTTTATGTTTTTCTTATATTTTTCTCTTCAACCGTTATAAAATTTATTTTTAAGTGGTATTGGCGTTTAGAAATGGTTCGAGGTTCAATTCTTGAAAATGAAATAGCTTTCTTTTAAATTAATTTAATTACAAAGTTGTCGGGGCCGCTCAAGTATTAAGTAAGTAGATTTACTGCAATTTACCCCCCTGCTCTTGTCAGTAGCAAAAGTAAGCAAGCTCTCAAAAATAATAGTACATAAACATTAATTTTTTATATGAATCCTCGGAAATGCTCGAAATTCTCCTTATTTGCATTTTTAAATATATACTCGTAGTAATCAGTCAACAATAATATATGAGCGTCGGGATATGATAAGGCAAATTTTATGTAAAATGTAGGGAAATGTTATAGATATATTTCTTTTTAAATAATGGACGTACTAATTGATGCCCGCGTCTTTATGCAATCGGTATAAAAGTGATGTATGCCACATATCATAAGTCCAACTCAAACTGTTTATATTTATGGAAATAAGGTATTGTAAGCTTAAAAACATTTCATTTCTGGTTCGTAACTTTTGTTTATCCCTGAACGCACTGCCTTGCGATTCTGTTACTCACTTTTCGAACTCTCACAGCGGTGGTCGCGCTCAAATCAGTCGTGGAGCAGTCATTTTACGATTTGGCATTCTGATAAACAATAAACTACAAGCCCCCTCCGCGTGTCAAGACGTAATGTGAAATTGCTTAACAGAATACGATGAGATTCCAAAAATGACGTGAGTGACGAAGGGAGCCTTATTAGTGCCAGGTGAACTCACAGATTAACAGAATCGCACGGCTGTCCAAAGTCAAGATGGCGCCTCGAATGCCCACACGAGACATTTCCTCGGCTCTGATTGGTCGTAACAATATTCGTTAAGTAATGATTCTAAATTATGAAACAAATAAATAATATCAAAACAAAAAAAAACAAATTAAATTATGATTCATAAAAGAAGAAGGAATTTACATTATTAACCAAAGTAACAATAATAATCAACGGTCAATTGATTTGATCAGAACATTTCCCGTTAATCCGAGCATTTTCTGACATATATTTTTAATTAATATCAGAAGCTATCCCAAATTAATGGGTGCGAAAACTGTTGACAGGACGTTATCACATCGTACAATACGGATTTGCTGTTATTTTGCTGGAAATAAATAAAAATAGTAATATACCATACCCCCGGTATAATATAATAATCCAAGCATAATAATAAAATGTCAGTATTTTTATCCTAACACTATATATATATTTAAATAATCCATACTACTGCCGTGTTTCTTTTCTTAACGATAAGGCTTTATTACCTAATATAAATAATGATACATAATATTAATAGAATATATAAGTTGACGTTCACTAGTGGGACATAATTCTAGGTATAGTTTGTCTTAAAGGCAACTTACCTATTAATTGTGGTGATAATTTAAACGTTGAATTTATTCTTTTGTACCTCTACCACAAGATTGTCAAAGTTCGTTACGTCAATATGTTTGTATGAATTAACAAATGCCTGTTACAGTTTGGGCAAATCTGAGGCATTTTTTAATATTTTAGACGTTTTATACTTTGTCAAAGTGGTGGTAGAATTTCGACTAATGATTATCATACAAAATTCCAGGGCTGTCAAAATGGAACTTCTTGTCTACGTGCTGTTACTTACTCAAGCAGTTCTAGGAAATACTAAACTAGACAGCTGTGACGAAGAGTGTACTTGCATATCAGGGATTTTGAAGACCGAAAAATCTTGTACAAGTGTCGAGGAGGCATTTAGAAACTTTAACATAACTCCGGACTACGTACAAGTCGCACCAAAGGATTTTCTAGAGGTATTTTAAATTTTTTCTGAAAGGTAGAAAAGAAACGAAACGAAATTCGATAAATCGATTGATTTTTACAAATTCCTTGCGTGATTCTAATAATAAGTGTATCGTTTTTATATATTATTTAAAAAAATGTAATTTTATTCATTGATTAAAATTTTTACATTTATTTTTTATAATTGCTGGATGATCATCCGCCCAGGATTATAAAAATTAATCGATAAACGATTTATTATTATTAAAAAATACGAAACTCAACCTATCGAGCTGTGGAACATTCTGCTCCCAGGGCCAATTACAGCCACAGCACACACGCATTGCACACTTGAAACGAAACAAATGGGAAAAAGGAAAAAAACTTTTTCTTTTATATATCTCATTATATTTTTTATTTAATTTTATTCTATGATTATTGTTATTTTGTGTGTATTTTTGTTAATAATATTATATATATAGACAAAGCGTTTCGTATATCCGTAAAACATTGATTTTATTAAGTAAGTAATTCAATAGAAACACACAATACATTCATATACACATATATTACATATTATTATTGTACTACCTGACTCAAATAGGTCTATGTTTTAGGCGGACTTTGGCACGGCAACAGTGAATTTAGGAAATTTCATACCTCCTCTTAGACTTGTTGACCCTAAAACTGTAAGTTACCATAAAGGGAAAAAACATGGATATTACACATTGCTAGACATCGGTGAGTCGTTCCACTATTCATAGTGAATAGATTTCACTTAAATGAGCACAAAATCTAAAAAACTAAAATGCGGAATAATGTATTTGTACATGTTGCACTTGGTTATAATTTTTATAATATTACTGGCTGACCCCACGCACTTCGTTTCTCCTTAATGTGATTTTATAAGTAAAGTCACATTAGGTAGGCCTTAGCCTACCTTTTTAGTACATACCAACATGGAACATCTTGCTATGCTACCCCAGAGACTGTTCGGTTTTCTGGAATAAAAACTTTTAGATTTTTCTGTGAATTTTTCTCTATATAAACCTCAGTGTTCAAGACATAAGATTTTAATTAACAAATTAAAAATTGGGTTGATCGTAGAGGGGTGAAATTTAGGGGTTGTAGGTATTTTTGTATGCTGTATTATAAAAAAATAAAAACAGGAAAAATTGTCTAAAAAATAAAAAAATTGTGGACACCCCTTATCACTTTGGGGTTTGAAAGATAAATATTAGCCGATTCTCAGAATTACTGAATATGAATAAAAAAATTCATAAGAATCAGTCAAACCGTTTCGGAGGAGTATGGGAACGAACATTGTGACACGATAATTTTATATATTAGAAGTATCATGTCGAAGATGAGATGTTGTTACTTTACGATTAGGCTTATATATTTTTTTCACAGCTCGATAAACTCTTAAGTTGATCTATTTCTCACTTCTCTCATAACGCAGATGTATAAATTCATAGTTAAACTAACTATTTATTTTATTCTAGTTTGCAATAATTTAAAAATATTCATTTTATAGACTTCGATGGCGAATCAAATGTAAAAGTTATCGACCTTTTGATGAATATAAGGGACGTGGAGAAGGTAGTACCAACATCTGGAGATGTGATTGTCTTGTTTACTCCGCCCTTACCTGCTTTAGGAAGTGGAGTCCATCGTCATGGAAAATTATTGTATGAGCAAAAAGGACCAATTGATGCAAACCAACTAGATCTTTTAAAGTAAGTTTTTTTTTTAAGTTGGTTAAAATAAGGAATGAAACTTCTTTGACCTGATTAAATATATAGTAATAACCACTGAATGTATTGAAGCAACGAGTCTTCATGACGATAATCTTTACCATGCTCTGTGGTATATGTAACTCATTAAAAATATATATCTAAATCATTTTCTTCACATAAATTACAAAACACGTATTTGTATTTAACAGGATGTCATTTGACTTCCTAGACATCCAGGCTGATCACCTACTTGCTTATTAGATTGACAAATGATCATGAAACAGATACAGAAAATCTGAGGCCCAGACCGGCCGACCGTGCCGACCGAGAAAAATTGCGTTTATAAAGAAAAATCAGTAATGCAGCTGTGAATCGACCGATCTCTTAGTACTAAGTGCGTGCTAAGAGTACGCTTTTCACTCCTTTTGCAGTAATTGTATATTTTTTTCAGATTATCGAGATATCCAGTAATACCTAACCTAACAAAGTTCACGAAGACCTATCACCTTGGAAACCCCGTCGCTGGTAACTTGTATACAACGGAGTTGAGACGCTGTGACAGTTCTGATAAATGTTTGGACAAGGACGACAGTGTAAAACAATGTGAAAGATTATGTAAAATTCTGTCAAACTGCAATAATGATCAAATAGATCAAATGCAATGTGATGCAGTTGATAAATAATTTATATTTTTAAATGTTTTGAATTTGTCCTTGTGTGTATTAAAATAAATGTGTGTATAAAAATATTTTAGACTTATTCCTGGTTATTTTGTAAATTTCACTAAATATAAATCTTTCTTCGAAGACAATTTTAAGGGCATCAGAACATAGAACATAGTACAGGCTATCCAGTCATGTTAGAAAAAGGTACTACACGAATAATTTCGTGCTACATTTATTCCTTTGTAAACTATTTGAGCTGGAACTTTATCCAAGCGAACACAGATCTTGGCCCCCTTATGTACCACGATTATTTTGTCGGTGACGCCAGTTGCCATTAATTCATACCAATTTAAAATAAACTAAAAGAAAACTTAAAAATAAAATATGTTTATTATGGAATATAAGATACAGGTATGACTCAGCGGCAAAGAAGACAGAGGCCGAGAGAAATGTCTACACATTAAAACAAACGTTGAGTTTTGTAATTAATTATAGCCGTTAATTAAACCCATAAAAACTTTTTAGGCTGGCAAGGACAAGAAATATAAACCTCTCGAACTACACAAAGAAATACCACCTTGTGGACCTCGTAGCTGGGAACTTCTATCGGACTGAACTCGACTACAGTGCCAACTAAAAGAACGAAGATCTGCCGATGATGTAAATGAACGATGTGAACGATTGTGTAAATTTGTCTCCTGTAAAGATGAAAACGATGATTTAAAATGCAATCGTTAAATAAAGATATCCGTAAATGGTTCTATTTTTAGGTAGAATTCCATTATGAGGGCGTCGTGAACTGCGCTTCCTCTTATTTTAGTGAAAGTAATGTTACCTTATGTGTTCGCAATTAATGTTATTTAAGATACTTTACTTGTATAGTTCTTGTTGGTCAGGATTTATCCAATCATTCTGTTCGCACAAGAGGCGAGTGGGGCGATGTAATTAACTACCAAGAAGGAGCATTTTACCCTAAAAAAGGTTTTGTTAAGAAATCCTTGCCAATACTTGGCACACCTATTTGTGGTCACTTGTTAATTTTTTCACTTAGCTTGCTAACGTTCTTATATAATTGATGTGTATGTGTGTGAAAAGTTGTGATGTCATATTTTCTTGTAAATTTTTATGCAGACACATTGTTTTAGAACGTAATAATAAATAAATACATGGTTAAAGGCATAATGTAAAGTGAAAAGTTTATCAAACCTAGAAACCTATCACACTACAAGAGCAATATTTAATCATTTATCAAATTCCTGTCTCAGTGGACAGTGGTAATTTAGGCTCGTTGCGATTACTACAATTTTTAAGGGCTTAGTTGATGCTCAATATTTTTTTTTAAATCACAGAGAGTTGAGAGAACTAAATTTGTAGGTTTGAACCGCAGCTGTGCACCAATGGATTTTCTGTCTGTGTGCACATTCAATACTCGCTCGTACGGTGAAGGAAACATTGTGAGAAAAACGGCATTTCTTAGAGTCTAAGGCTTAATAATAATAAAGCGTTTATTTGCCAAGATAGTGGTACAATTAGATCAATTAATCATAAAAATCCGCACAATCAGCCATGGCATGCAAATGTCATATTAATTTTTACAATGTCATGTAATTATGAACATTAACATAATGTCATAATAATAAGTTAAGTTATTTATAATTCATGTCAAACTTATGGTCTAAATACTCGCCCACGCTGGCCTCTTGCCTTGCCTTTAATAACCTTTCCCTTGAAAGAATTACACAATAGTGATCTGTAACTTTTAGGAAGGTGACTAAATAGTTTGATAGCCATGGCGTAACAATTTTTTAAATACATCGTGTTCCAGCGTGAGCCACACCGCACCCAGCACCCAGAGCGGTGTTGGATCCCTCGGTATATACAGACAAGTTTCTTTGAATGTTTTGAACAATTTGACTTAATTTCCTAAAACCCCTAGATGGGGCAGAGGGCGTCCACAGTGAGTCTCCATCGTGTTCGGTCTTGACCCTCGTATTTCACCTCGCTCTGTCTTTCCGCGCTCTTTGCCTCTGTCTGCGACTGTACGGCGCCAGGTTTGCTTGGGACGGCCCCGCTTCCGCTTTCCTTGCGGGTTCCAATCAAGCGCCTGCTAGGGAATATGATTGGGATCCCTTCGGAGTGTATGGCCTATCCAATTCTACTTGCGTCGCTTGATCGTTGCTTGAAAGTTGCTCGTTAGAGATCATTTCAGGGCAGTAGATGCCCAGAATATGGCGAAGACAGCGGTTGATGTATAAACTTGGTACTGTCAAAATACCGATTCGTAAAAAAAAGCTTACTTACTAAGACCGAGAACGCTGTCCTTCTTGTATATTAAGAAAAATCATCACGAAACGGATACATAAATCTGAGGGCCACAGCTAAAAGGTTGCAGCGCTATTGGTTGAAAGGCTCAGTAGGATCTCTTGACAGTCCACTCCTACAGCCTCACATGCATGCTTTACAAAGCCTCTTTCAACGATGTTAAATCACCCGTGAGATTTATTTTTTCCTAAAACAAATGTATGAGGAAAGACACACTCGGATTTATTGTATCTTTATTCATTATATTAGGTCCTTACATATGAAATTGGCGTTTTGTATGGGAGGAACAAAAAGTTGAATATTTTTAAATATAATATATTTAATTAATTAAATAAAAATTTATTTGACCAAAGTATGAACCATTGTTTTCTAAGCACTTTTGCCATCTCATAGGTAGTTCATTGATACCTTTACTAAAAAAAACAGTCGGACGGGAATCAATAAAATCTGTGAAGACGATTTGGACTGCCCCATCAGAGTTAATTTTTTTCCCTTGCAAGAAGTTGTCCAAATTTCGAAAAAAATGGTAATCTGTTGGAGCAAGGTCCGGGGAGTACGGAGGATGTCTTAGACATTCCAATTGAAGCTCTTCTAATTTGGTAGCCGTCTGTTGTGAAGTGTGTGGTCTAGCGTTGTCGTGAAGTAGCAGTGGCGTGGAGCGATTGACCAGCCTAGGTTGTTTAGCCGCTAGCTTTTCCATCATGGTTTGCAATTGCTGACAATATACATCAGCCGTAATAGTCTGGCCAGATTTGAGAAAACTGCAATGAACAATACCGGCACTAGTCCACCAAACGCTTACAAGTAACTTTTTGGGGTTAATTTTCGCTTGGGGCAGGATTTGGCTGGCTGGCCAGGATCCAACCATTGCGCTGAGCGCCTCCGATTATCGTAAAGAATCCATTTGTCATCACAGGTAATGATTCGGTTTAAAATACCTTCATTTAGTATTGTCTTTGATTAACATAACTTTTATTCATTTAATAAAACACTATTTTGACCGGATTGAAGTTATGTATTATTATAAATTTACAACTATTTAACATAATTTTACAACTATTTAAAATTATGTTAAATAGTTGTAAATTTATAATAATACATAACTTCAATCCGGTCAAAATAGTGTTTTATTAAATACCTTCATTATTGTGCCGGTTCAGTAATGTAACGCAGCAGTCGACGCGCGTTTGCCGGTTTGCTTCAGTCAATTCGTGAGGTACCCATCTTTCAAGCTTTTTAATCTTCCCAATTTGCTTCAAGTGAATTAAAACAGTTTTATCACTAACACCGCAGCCTGCAGCTAACTCGGACGTGTTTTGCGATGGAACCGCTTCCACAATAGCCTTCAATACTTCATTATCAACTTGGGTCTCAGGCCGTCCACGGGGCTTGTTCTGCAGGTCGAAATTTCCAGAACGAAAACGTTGGAACCAAAAACGAACTGTGTTTTCTTTTGCATCATTCACCCTTCGAGTCGTTTTCGCAGCACTAGTGCCACGGCGGAACTCGTACTCGTAAATAATGCGATACTTTAAGTTTTCCATTTTGTAAAATGAGTGACGCAAACAGAAAAAAACAAATGAATGACGGTCATCGAAGCACAAATACATGAGTAAATAGCTGTACAAATTTGAATTTGGGATTCCTGACTAAAGAGGAGAACATCGTGATTAAAGTGGCCAGTACGAAAAACGCCAATTTCATATGTAAGGACCTAATATTACATTGATATTCAAGCACAAGCTCTGATATAAATGAACAGACCATAATCAACATGAAAAAAGACACGATTTTCTACCATAGAGCTACAATTTAAGACTACATTAACAATTATTGTATTAATAATTCTACAAAATTTTTTTTTTTTTAAATTATCCATTTTCCAACTATTTCTCAATTGATGAAATTCAATCCTGCAATTCCAAGCAAATATTTTTAAGCTACACTAATATAATAATCATTTTTGGAGTTTACTCCTTAAGAAACGATTTGAGTTATAAGGCCCGGTACGGAAATTTTATGAGGAGTAAAATCAAGTGTAACACGAAAAGTTGAGGCGTTATGTGTAACACGAAAAGTTGAGGCGTTATGTAGAAAGAGACAAATGGATTGAACGTGTAAAAGAATGAGATGGAATACATTACAGAGACTTTTCTATTTTGAATTCACGTTTTGACAGCCACGTTACAACATTGTCAGTGTTGACAGGTGTAAAAAATAAAAGTAGATTGTCTAGCGTGCCATAGAGTTTTGTCAATAGTAATGGTCAGTGAAATTAAAACTAAAAAGATTGTTCATTCTTATTCTTCTCTTACTATAAAGGTAACTTTGGTCACAGAAAGAAAATCCTATTTGGGCATAGATGATGTAGGTACGTTTTATTACTACTACAAACATTTATATTATAAAAACATATATTCTTACCACCTTTAGTATGAAAATATGGTCGACAGCCACAGAACATTATCGCCATTTTATCGTTCGTAAAGAGTAAACTCCAATCGTGCGTCGTAGCTGACACACACACACTTTTTTGTTTATTTAACTTAACAGCTTTAGATGAACAAAATTCATATTTTTATTTAAAATTCGTCTTAATATATGTATAACGTATTACAACATAGATAAAAGTTAATTAGCTTTTAACAGATAACAGCTACTGTCTGAAAAATAAACGAATTTTCCTGTATTTTTCT